GAAAGTGCACTTCACGAATCCAAAATTCACATTTAGAGAATTTGGCGTACAACTTTTCGTTTTTAAGCAATTCCAGTATCAGTTTTAAATGTTGCTCGTGCTCCTTTTTGTCTCGAGAATAAATAAGTATGTCATCTATAAACACGATCACGAACTTGTCTAGATACGGTCGACATACTCTAGTCATCAAATCCATGAAGATTGCTGGTGCGTTTGTTAGACTTAAAGGCATAACTAGGAACTCGTAATGACCGTATCGAGTCCTAAACGCCGTHTTGGGAATATCCTCTTCTCGCACTCTCATTTGATGATATCCAGACCTAAGATCGATCTTTGAGAAGTATGTAGCTCCTTGAAGTTGGTCAAATAGGTCATCAATCCGGGGAAGGGGGTWTCRGTTCTTAACAGTCAACTTGTTGAGTTCTCTATAATCGATACACATTTGAAAAGATCCACCCTTCTTTTTGACAAATAAAACTGGAGCTCCCCAAGGTGAATAGTTGGGTCTGATGAATCCTTTATTGAGTAATTTCTGAAGTTGTTCCGCCACCTCCTTCATATCAGATGGTGCTAACCGATATGGTGCTTTTGCCACGGGTGCAACCCTAGGAATTAGTTCTATGTGGAACTCAACTTGTCTTGATAGGGGTATTCCAGGCAATTCATCTGGGAATACTTCGGGAAAGTCCCGAATTATAAGAATATCTTGAACGCGTTTTTCTTCAGCTTTCTTATCCATAACGTGAGTTAGAAAGGCAATGCAGTCCTTTCTCAAATACTTTCGCATCTTCAAACACGTCACTATTTTAATACCCCTTCTGGGTTTCTCTCCGTGTACTTCGAGTATTCCCTCTTCGGGTAACGGAATTTGAACGATCTTCTCGAAACAACTAATTTCAGCTCGGTTCTTGGATAACCAATCCATGCCCACAATTATGTCAAAACTTCCTAGTTGGATCGGGATTAAATCTATACGAAAATCCTTACTAGTCAAGTTTAAAGTGCAATCCATTATTACGTCTTTGGCCTTACACTCTTGACCGTTGGCATATTCAATGATGTATACTTCTTTCAACTTTTGAAGTCTTAGATTTATTTTTGGTCTAAAATCTAATGACACAAAACTCCTATCCGCTCCAGAATCAAATAGTACAAATACGTAATGATTATTTAAGAGAAACGTACGTGTAACTACATCTGGATTCTGGCTTGCTTCCTTAGCTCCAATCTCAAACACTCGGCCTCTTGCCGGACCTCCTTAATTCCTTTGGTTAGCTGGTCGTGCTTGGTTAGTGTTCGGTCTCTAGTTCCATCGTGGACATGCATTCCAAAAGTGATCTGGGCTTCCACACTCGAAACATGCCCGCCTTCCTGTGCTCCTGCAATCTTTGGCACAGTGACCTCCTTTGTCGCATTTTTGACAGATAATACATCGTCTGGCATGCTATTTATTGCACTTCTCACACCTTTGATAAGTTTTTTTCTCCTTCTCTGCTGATTGAGTCTGAATCCCGTAGTTTCCTGATATTTTCAGAGCCTTTCCCATTCTTCCCCCAGACTGCCTTCGTGTAGGTTCTTCCATCTTTCTCTTCCCTGAAGCCTTATCTTTTACAAACATTCCCGAACGAGTAGCATTGTTGGTGAGTTTGGTTGCCGGACTTACTGCCTCTTGTAGGGTTTTTGGGTTTGCCGAAGTAACATCCCCGCGTATCACCGGAGATAATCCCCAAATATATCTATCAACTCGATTCACTTCAGGCATCACTAGATGCGGTACCATTTTTGCCAACTCATGAAAACGTGCAGTATAAGAGTCTATATCATTTCCTCTCATTTCATGATTCCATAATTCTGCTTCCAGTTTCGGGATCTCGCTCCTTGGACAATACTCTTCTTTCATCATTCTCTTAAAATCTTCCCACGTAAGACCGTTGGCGGCTTCTCGGCCCCGAGTTTGTACTTGGGTATTCCACCAAGTTGATGCTCGTCCTTGTAATAGACATGCAGCAAACTCTACTTTCTTCCCTTCGGTACATTCGCTAATATGGAGCACAGACTTCATGCTCTCTAACCAAGTCAGTAATCCCACGGCTCCCTCAGTCCCGTGAAATTCCTTCAGATTACAACTCCTAAAGGGTTTGTACGTACATTCTCTATTTCCCGATCCTTGATTGTTGTTTTGATTATTATTCAGGCCAGCTGCCACTTGGCTAACAATGTTTGGAAGTGCAGCCATGAGTTGCTCGGATACAAGTCGGGCAACTTCGGAATCATCCCTTCTCGAAGGCATTGTTCTAAAACACAATTTTAAATTGGGTTTTGGTCAATTTATGTTACTATGGCCATAATAAATCTAATTACTAAATCATACGTATCCTATAACATACATCTAACACTATTCATGAAAACATATACTCCAAAACAACATGCGATAAATAGATAACATGCATAAATTTCATAAATAGCCAAAGCAAACCAAACATAAGTTTTAAAATACAACCCAAAAGACATTAAATTGTTTAAATTTAAACATATAGGCTACAAGCCCCAAAAGAAGGTATTATCCACCCAAAAGTTTCAAAATAACGGGAGTTCCCTAACACATTAACACCCTAATCAATATCCCTATCATCACCACCAAAGCTCCTACCGCCCTAAACAAGTACGCGTACAATCTCCGAATTGCCCTCCTAGTCTCGAAAACGACCTCCATAATCCCCGTAGTAATATCATCCTGTGTGAGCAAGATTGTAAAAATGCCTTCTAAGGACTGCTGGACGTGATCAAGTGTATGATGGTGGGACTGTAACTGACTGCTCAAGCCTGAGACCCAAAGGTTTTCCACTGCAGTCATTCCCCGAGGCTATGGCACAGGAACTCCAATTGCTGGGGGAGGAGGGGTCATGCTCCGCGATTGGGACTGCGATCCGGCTGGCTCGCTCAGAGGCTCGGAGGGAACTGCGATAGTCACCCTCCTAGGAGGGAGAACACGCTTTTGGGCGGTTCTCATGATCCTAGGTCCTCACGACGGACCATCCACATCGACCGAAGGTGGCGTAGGTACAGATGATTCAACAGAAGTCTCTCGGGTGGTCGCGTCACTTTCCTCGGACGGGTCACTCTCCTCACAGACGGGTTGGTTTCTCCTAGGGAGGCTGGTAAAGTAACCGGATTCGTCAGGGAAGTGCTCAGGGAGTGAGGATGAGTGAGACATTTTTAAACTGTGACATTAACAAATTCAATTACTAACTGTACTTAAGTAAATAATAATTCATAAAATAAAAATACTCATGCAACTCACAGTTATGCTTTTCCTTTGGGCAAGAAAATTTTTATTTTAGCCGACTTCCAATATAATTGTTCCTTGTCCCTCCTTAAACATATTAAATTAGACATAGGTGATCAGGCTTTGCCTAATTATAATATGCTAAGTCAACACTAAGTCCAATCATACTAGTAGTAAGCTTTTCTTTTCTTTTTTTTTTTAAAAAAAATATTAAATTAGTTTAGAAAATATATATATTTTTTAAATCATTTGGTTATAGTATTTGGTTTTAATAGAAAACCGGTGTTCTCTATAACCTAAGGCTATGATACCAAGTCTGTCACACCCCGCTAAAGCGGAAACACGAGGAGTGATAGTTCAAGATTTCACAACGATAGGGCGAAAACAACACCAATTGTCCATTCAAATACATAACATATAAAGTCCGAAATTACATCATACAAGTTCAAAGTTTTTTTTTAACAACATGATGTAAGCAAAGTTTTCAACAAAAAGATTTCAAATATAAATATGGTTGAAGTCATTGCGCCCCGAACATAAACGTTATCAGTTAACCTTTCTTACCCTTGAAAAGCATAATAAAACAAGGTCAACTACAAAGAGCTGGTGAGTTCACAGGTTTTCAATGTTTCAAACCTCCTTTTTAAATAAGCGAAAATGAGCAAATTAAATTTTTAATGGCACTTGATTTACTTTGAAAGAAAATCTTGGATTGTTCAAGGCAATTTGTACTCTAATTTTAAGTATATAAAGAGCCACCACTAAACCTTTCGACCCCATAAAACTGTTTTTAATTCTACCTTACCGGTTGGACTAAAACCCCACATATGTAGAACCTTTATTTTTAAGTATAGTGCACCCTTACCTGTAGTTTCTAGGTGGGATTGCTATCCACACCCCTACTTATCGGTTTTTAGGTGGGATTGTCCGTCCAAATAGCGTTATCCACAAATACCCTCGGCTCCTCACTTGAGTTAATAATAGTGTACAAACTTTTATGTTACGTTTTACTCAATATAACTATTAGTGTACATGCCTTAGTGCCCACAACATCAAATTAACAAAATTTCATATTCATAATGAAAATAATTCATATAACACATTCAATCATGTTTTTCACCCCAAAACGTAATAAATACTTCGAAAGAGGGGCTGTGAATACTCACACTTTTGCAAAGCTCCGCTAAACAAAAACACGATCTGATCCCCACATGTTGGCTTAACGTTTCCCTATCAAAGAGAAATATCCAAAACCGTCACTTATGGTTTAAAACTACTTATGGGGATTAATAAGTCCTAAGTCTATAATTGTCTACATATGTCCAACTTGATTATCTATAGTCTAATTATACATAATGCACATATGCTCGTTAATATAGTAATTTATACCGGAAGTAATGTTATAATCCATTAAATGATCAAAATTTATAAAATCAAATAATTCCAGAATTTCACTTTTGGACAGAAACTTAGTACTAAAAATGATCAATTTATAGACTTCTAAAATGATATAGTTTCCTATCTTTTTATATGGGATATAGTACTGAGCTATGGTCATTGTGACCAAACATTTTGGACATGTAAAAATGGTTCAAATAATTTATGCAATACAATATGTCAC